CATAAGAAATTCTAAGCAGACTCCATTCCACAGAGACAAGGACCATTATTCTTGCCTTGGACCTGGCAAAAATGAATATTGCAAACAGCATACTCACAGGTAATCAATGAGTAAGATTTTTGATTGTCTTTCTCATTTTAAAACATGCCTCACATGCCTAACGTGCACAATTCTTTCACAAATGCTGTCTCCTTCAATTTCACCTTGAAATATTTCTCCATAAGATATACTGCTATCACTATTTTACTGGTGAGGATTGTATAACTTTCCTAGACTCGATGCTAATAGCTCCAACATTCCTTCTCTTACCCATTTTATTTCTTTATTCAGCCCTTGGATCAGCAAACACTTCTGAAGGTCTCTCTTTTGTTCCTAGTCTGGGGGTAAACACAGAGGTAAACACACAGTTCATCCATAAGGAATTCCCAGTCTGAAGAAGTCAAATGGGCAGCTGAGAATGTAAAATCTGTATGCTAAAACACATAAGAATACCTTTCATTGAAAATTCGTAATACACATTTATTGAGAACTTACATGCGTGTGATTCTATGGTAAAGACCATACAGGAGAAGCAGGCATACACCCCTCTTTTAGGTGTCACAGGCTAGCTGGTAAGGAGTATAGACAGGCAGTAAATCTTGTACTACAATCTCAGGTGTACAATAAATATACTGTTTATCTGTGATTCAACTTAGTTTTGCTTTAGCTCAGAGCAGAAGAAACCTAATTTCAGTTAGAGGTAGCATGAAGGTAGGTTCAAAGGGATGGAGACGGTCCTCAGTGATGGATACACATGGGTCAGAGCACACAGCCCCTTTCTATGTCACTTCCATGTTATACCTGGAGAGAGAAGACCATTTATTCTCCTTCTAGGCGACAGGTCAGAAGGGAGGGTGGGCGCCAGGGAAAGGCTGCCCTCAGGGGGCTAGTTTAAGTTCCATTTAATGAGATAAGCTCATCTTTCCACTCTGTGTGGGAGCATCTACCTCCATCTCCTTTGGGAATCTGCGCAGGCTCTATCTCTCCTTTTCCTCTTCTGATTTTTCAGTTCTCCTTCCTATTTCTTGAGGTGTCCCTCAGAGAAATCTAGCACAATCTCCTTGATTAACTTATGTTGTGGGAGCAAAAGGTAGAAGACGGCCAAGCTGTTTATATTTTTGTTTTTGTTCCCTTGACAATTCCTCTCCCAGACCATGAACACGGCCACCAATATGAAGATTCTGAAGTCCGGCGAGAAGGAAGGAGAGTAGGAGGAGTGAGAGGGGAGAAGAGGAACGTTGAGCGTGCTCTCCTGCAACACACCAATAAAAATAAAATAAATAACAATGGATCATGAACAGGAAGAGTAGAGGCTGGAGAGATGGCATAAATAGGAAGAGTAGGAAGTGGTCAGTTAGAGAGATGGCCCAGAGAGTTCACACAGAGGCAACTCTTAACTCTGGAAAAAGTGGGGAAGAGGCAATAACGGCAAGGACGGGGAAGGGAAAGAATCATCAAGAAAGAAAGAAAGGGGCTGGGGAGCTAGATCAGTAAAGGGCTTGCTGTACAAACATGAGGACCTGAGTTCAATCCCCAGAGCCCTCATAAACACATCAAGCACAGCGATACTTCTGCGATCCCAGCACCGGGGAGGCAGAGACAAACAGAGCCCTGGGGCTCACTGACCAGTCTGCCTAGCCTGATTGGTGTGCCCCAGGCCAGCAAATGACAGTGTCCTGATAAAACAAGATGGATAGCTCCTGAGGAATGACACCAAAAGTTGTCCTCTGACCTCTATATGTACCTTTACATACACGTGCACGCAAATACACACACTATTAAAAAATAAATCTCAAAGGAGTGGGAGCCACAGTGACGGTTGGCAAATGTTCCTGCAGGGTCCGGAGACACAGCAGAGAGGGAGGTGAGCCCAGACAGGTAGGGAATAAGGCAGTAGTGTCAGAAACACAGAGAAGTCAAGAAGAAGAGGTGGAAAGCACCCCTAGATCTGTCAGGGTCAGATCCCAGGTGGCTTCTGGTCTATAACATGCATCTAGCAAGTGTCCTTCCAGCCTCTTCTAAGGCCACCACAGAGTTTCATGGCCATTTAACAGAGAGATTCCCTCAGACACAAAACACCTGTCTCTGAATCTGGATGAAAACTCTACCAGCTGTAGACAGTGGGGCTGAGGTTAGGGTACGCTCACCCAGGGTGCCCTGTGGAAATCGTGGGCTCTGATGCATGATGCCTAGACCACCGGAAAACTGAGAGGTGGTTCGCAGCTGCCTCCTTTATCCCTTGATTTGGGAAGCCAATGAACGGCTTCTGGACTGCTGTTTCCTGAACCTTCTACCATTTCCACCTTATTGAGAACAAAGTCCTAAAAATAGCTCTAAGATCAGTAAAAAAGGAAGTAACACAACATCTCGGGGGACACAATCTCTGAAAGATTCAGAAGCCTGTGAAAGCAGTGCATGCTGGGAACATAATATCAAGCAGCTACAGCCTGCACTGTCAGAGAACAACTCTCTGGATAGAAGTTCCATTAGAATTACAGTCAACAGAAGTTGTCAGGAATATGGGAATTGCACCTGGATTTGTGGATGCTGGAATCAGAGAAGGGCATTTGGCTATTCCACAAGCAGACAGGAGGTCAGATCGAGGGCCATCTCCCTACCTTCTTTGCTAACAAACCTTTCTTCACCTTGATTTGTAAAGGAGAAGTTAAGGAGAATAGGGGTAGGATATGGATTCTAGATAAAAATTTGCAAAATAAAAGGTAGTGATCAGCACCCGGCAGACCCTGGGAAAGACCCCTCTGAAAAATGCTGTGCTACAGGATCTAGAAAAGAAATCACAAGGTGGCACCGCATATCCAGTCCCCAGGAGTTCTGCAGTGCAGGCGGGGTGCTGAGGCAGGCGCCTGTGGGCCAAGCACATCCCAGCAGGCCAGGGTTGCTGAACGTTTTGGCCTTGTGTGAGGTGATGCCCCTTCCTCTGGCCCTGCCTTTGAATTCTCTGTAATTCCTCACATAGGTCTTCCCTCTTCTTCAGCTCTGAAACTGGGTGTGCAACCTCCACCCCACACTGAGACATATCTGGCCCATCTTTGAAGTTACAGGCCAGGAATCTCCTAGCTCTTGCAGCCTTTTTTGTCTTTTTCCACTCACTGTACTGCATGATAATTGTTCTGTTCTTTATTCCATTTATCTTCCCTCTTAGACTCTACTCACGGCCATCAAAGGATGGCTCTTATTGTTAGAATCACTGTTTACCTGGCGTGCTCTGCGGACCTGGTACACCCTCTGTGTACAGAGTCTCACTTCGGCTCACCACCTCCTCAATCTATTTCCACTCTGCTAATGTCTCTCTCTGCTGAACATGAGAGAAAGAAACGTGCTTGAGTTCACAAAGATGACAAGGAGTGGCACTGGCTCTCAAGCCCATGTTCCTCAGACTGTGAAGCCCATTTTCTAATTAACATGTATTAACTGGGTTAATTGTGATATTTGAATTCATGCGTATAAGATGACCTGACCCAATTCAGCCTCTGTATTCACACTTTGCTCACAACCCACTGCTTATGCCCACGACCTCTATTAATCACTAAGGTACATTCAGGTCAACTTTTTTTTCTCCTCAGGGGAGTTTATCTCCCAGTCAGAAGAGAAGCAGGAACAGGCTCCCTTGGCCATCGAGGCCTGGGCCTGGCAGATGCCACATGGGCACTAGGGTGGGGTACTTGAGACATATCTGGCCCATCTTTGAAGTTACAGGCCAGGAATCTCCTAGCTCTTGCAGCCTTTTTTTCTTTTTCCACTCACTGTACTGCATGATAATTGTTCTGTTCTTGAGACCATGTAATACTTGGTCTCATGTTTGTCCTGACTGGGTCTGGAGAAGGCCTGCCCAGGGATGGTGGTGCTGAGAACCAGGGCAGAGGCAGAGGCCATAAATACTGACAGGTCAGGCATGAGGTTTCCAGCCACAGGGCCAGGGGAAAACAAACAAGGCTGGGCTACTTTTGCCCTCAGGAGCCTCTCTGTAGGAATGGGGGCTCAGGATGCTGCCCACAGGGTAGAGAAGGCAGAAACACAAGAACATCTGCACTGTCATTACACTGGCATTGCGTTTTGTCAGTCTGACCCTCCCATACCCACTAAACCCATCCACAGTCCTGGCTGGGGCATCTGGGGCTGGCCAAACACACAAGGAGCAACAACTATGCACCCAAGTCTCCTTATGAGGGGTCATCAGGATCTGGATCACAGGTCAGGCAAAGACAGGGGAGACCGCATGCAATGCTCCCCAGTACACGGATTATATGTTAAGGCATCATGACTAGATAGTGACTGGCAGTGATGGATGAACTAGCCAAAGGAAAGGGAAGGGCTTAGAGAGCAGCTCTGCCTGAGTCCCACACTGAGACAGAGTTTAGCCAGGGGAGAGACAAGGTGGCCTAGACATCACAGTGTTCTACTCCCTTCTAAAGGCTAGGGTCCAGTCACAGCCTGCAGAAGGAACCTGGAGGGATACGGGGAGGGGCAGAACTGGACTGCACCCCCCTCTGACAAGCACGAAGCCAGAAGCAAAAGTGTGACACTAGAGACCACAGGGGCTTGAGGCCTGGAAGGGTGGGGAAGGGCAGATAATGGAACTGCTTCAGACTGGGGCAGGGGGCAGAGGTGGGCATAGGGAATGGAAGTGGTGGTAGAGGGTCCTGTCAGCACCTTGGTTTGGGGTTGGGAATGGGGGATGTGGAATGGCTGTGAGTCACCCTGCCACTCTACACACCTTCTAGCTTAGGTGGTCTTTCCACTTGCAGGACAGGTGACCAGTCTCCTGGTCCTCTGTGAAATAGATTTGTTGCAGCTGTCCCCAGCCAGCATGCCCTTGGGCTCCCCCTCATGGGGACCAGGTATGAGGCACTCCTCCACCTGAGGTGGTATTTCCCCATCATCAATGTCTTGTCACTCTTTTTGAAAAATTTAAATCAGTTTTATTTAAGAATTTCCAACAACGACAACTCAACTCTTATTAAAAGCACCCAAGCATAAGACACATAATACAGCAATCATTAACAACATCACTTTTTCCAAGTGGGTCATGTATGCAGTGTCCAGTCATATCTGATTCCTACGTTAATGGTTAGGGGAATAAAAAAGGAATGTAACATTTAGAATCGATAACAAGAAAAGGTAATTTGGAAAAAAAAAGAGTATAGCTTTTGTCCTTTTTTATTTTTCATATGCATGTGTGAATTCAACTTTCTGTGTATTGAAGTAGCAGGAACCATTTCTGCATTCCATGAGTCCTGTGAGTGTGATTCATACCTGACACCATCTCTCTGATCACCGGGAAAGGGATTATGGGATTATTATCAGGCACTCCACATCCTTTTCAGCACAAACCACTGCTCCTTGAAGCTCCAGCTCCAAGGGGTCTGGGGCAGTGCTGCACATCAAGGTCATGCCGGTCACAATGACGTTGGGGATGCTTGGGTCCGTAGAGACAGCCACAGCAGCCTGGCCGTGCCAATTTGTCATGTACAATCTCTCATTCTTTTCCTGCTCTTGGACCTCCTGATGCTTTTCCACAGTGTTTGTCCCCCGTCTCTCTGCTGTGGCCTGGGCCAGGAGTTATGCTGTGGGCTTCTGCTCTTCCTCGCTCTCCTCCAGCCTACCACACTGGAAACTTGACCATTGAACACAAACACCAAATGAAGAAGCTTTTTCTTTGAGCTTCCAGAGAGAGAGAGAGAGAGAGAGAGAGAGAGAGAGAGAGAGAGAGAATGCAGTAATTGTCTTACTGTGACTGGGCAAGCCTGTTTTCCTTGCTACGAACCTACCTATGTTGTAAGTCTTCAGAATATGTTTAGAAGATAATGGACAAGAGGCCAGCCCAGCCTGGAAACAGTGTGAGGGCGAAGGTGGTAGTGTGTACAGATGATCTGAAAACACAATGTCTGTGAAAATGACACAGGGAAGGTCCTTTCTTTCTCTATTTCAGCTAAGGTAGAAAGATCTCTCTTTGCTGTCTGAACTCCAGAAGACTGCTAGTCCAGAGACACATCTGGATTTGCATGACTAATCCCAGGGCTGAGGGCACTTGCTAAGGTTAATAGTATGGTTCTCTGATATTGTTGGGGGCCTGAGAGAAGTTAAATCTCACACCTGGATTCAGGCAACATCAGTGCTCAGGTTCTTAAGGAGTCACCATGTTACCATACTGAGCTTGAAGTCATCGCTTCTTAATGTCCCTCTCTACACAGTGCCATTGCTTATCCCAGTCATTCATCAAACAGTTACCAAGGACATATGTCATCTCAGGACCTAGGTCCAATCCTGGGATTTGGAGATAAGAAACATTCCTAGCTTGGGAATGCTCACATCTCAATAAGAGGAGTAGCAAAGAAAGATTTATACAGTATGGCACATGCATACTGCATGGGTGTAAACCTAGGGCTTTGAGGAAACCCCAAGGAAAGTGCATGTCCAGTGTTGGAGGCAGGTGAAGCAGTGGATAGTGGAGGGAAGCTGCCAAATTAGACAACTGAACTGATTATTGGAAAGTTTATGACTTAACCTAGAAAATAAGTTAGAGAAACAAAGAAAAAGATGTGAGAGGGACCCAGAAGTCTGAAACAGCTGAAATTTAGGACCTGTGCTGGCAATTGTGAAGTGTGAGTATCACATGGGTGACACTGGAACTTAATTAAGGTCATAGATCTTGCCCCCAACACTAAGGCTTATTTTCATCTGTTGAGAGCTTACTGGATTTGAGCAGGTGTCTTTCCTCTCTATCCCAGACCAAATTTCAACCAATGCAGCTCTACCTCTACAAAAGTTTGCCTTAATTTGGGCAGGTTCTTCAACTGCGCTGTAATGGGCAGCATCTTGAAGTATGCGGGCTGGGTCCCCTCATGGAAAGGCGTACATGCTTTCTAATGTCTTCATTTTGAAATAATTTTAAATATATTCAAGAATTGCAAGGGCTAGGGAGATGACTCAGTCAGTAAAGCCCTTGCTGTGCAAGCATGAGGCCCTGAGTTTAAATTCCCCAAGTAAAAGCTGGGCCTAGCATTGTATACTTATAACTCCAGCACTAGAGGATCCCTGGGTCTTACTGACCAGTCAGTCTGGCCAAATTGGTGAGCTCCAAGTTCAATGACTATCTCAAAAACTAAGGTAGAAAGTGACTGAGGAAGGAAGAAACTTGATGTTGACCTTTGGCCTTTACATGCACCCACAAACACATGCATTTGCACCCACATAAACATGTGAACACTCACACAAGAATATGTATGCACACATACAAAAATAAATAAAAGCAAAATAGTGAGAGTTTCTATATACCCTTTATAAGTTTCCTATTCAGTTAACATAACACATAGTATATTTATAAACACTAAGAAATTAGTGTCACTGCATCATCATTAACTAGGCTACAAAATTTATCCAGATGTTTATATCAATTCTTTTTCTGTTCCTGAATATTCCAATGTGTATTTAATCTAGGTGACTCATGGGAGAAAACTTTCAAATATTGAAAATAAAATACGTCAAGTGTGTGGGAAGATAATATAGCCATATTAAATGTGATCCAAAAAATATCTGATAGAATTATTATGTGCTTTTTTTTGGTCTTTTTGAGACAGGGTCTCCCTGTAACCCCAGCTATCCTGGAACTCACTATGTAGACCAGGCTGGCCTTGAACTCACAGAGATCCACCTGCTTCTGCCTCCGGAGTGCTGGGATTAAAGGCGTGCACCACCTATTATGTGCTTTTTAATTAATCTATTCAAAATAAGAAAGCACACTTGTGTGATGGCACATGCTCTTAAAATCCCAATACTCCAGAGTCAGAGGCAGGTAGATCTCTGGTGAAATCAAGGCCAGTCTGGTCTACATAGCAAGTTCCAAACAAGCTGGGGCTACAAGGAGACCCTGTATTAAAACAAACATAGAAAACAAAACAAAAAACAAAAACTAGGAAAGCTAAGTTCTCATTTTTAAAAATTTATTGAATTTTTATAAATTTCATACAATATATTTTAAACAAACATGTCCTTCCTTATCTACACCCCCTTGATGCCCCCACCTGATTTCAGGTACTCTATTATAGATAGGTAGGTAGATGATGGATGGATAGATAGATAGATAGATAGATAGATAGATAGAATAGATAGATAGATAGATGATAGATAGATAGATAGATAGATGATAGATAGTGATGCATTTGCATTTTTATCATATTTAGACCTCTCTCTTATCTTGACCCCCTTACTACTCCCATGCTATTATATATATTCATTACATACAGATATTTAGAGGTCTAAAGAGTCAAACTTGTGTCCCCAAGTGTCCTTTGCTGTGAATCCGTGCAGTAGAGCCTGGTTAAACTACCAAGAGTCACACGCTTAAAAGCATTTCTTTTTTAATGTTTTGTTATTTTTATTTATGTGTGTGTGTGTATTGCCTGAACCTATGTAAGTGCACCTGTGTCATGCAATTCCTGCAGAAGAGGGCATTGGATCCCCTGGAATTGGAGTTACAGACAGTTGTTAGCTGCCATGAGGGTGCTGGAATTCAAACCTGGGTCTTCTGCAAGAATAACCAGTGCTCTTAACCATTTAGCTATCTCTCCAGCCCCAAGAGTCACACTCTTAAAGAAGCCTGACTTTCTCCCTCCCAAGTAGCTGTCAGTTACCAATAGTTCCTTAGCTAGGATTGGGTTTCCTATTCATTTTCCCATTTCTATGCTGAGAACTTGTCTGGCTTGAGCTTATGTGGGACTTGTGCATACTGTCATCACTGCTAAATTCATATGAGTAGCTTACCAGCTGCCTGGAAAACCCTGTCTCCTTGCAGTCATCTTCCACCTCTGACTCTTACGATCTTTCTTCCTACTCTTCCACATGATCCTCAGCCTTAGAAGACAGAAGTTTGATATAGATGTCCTATTCTGGGATAAGCACTCTTCTGCTCTTGTTGTCTTCATGTTGGCCTGTTGTGGTTCTCTGTATTAATCACCATCTGCTATATAAGAAAGCTTCTTTATTGAGAATCAAGAGATGCATTAATCTATGAATAATAATATGTCATTAGGATGGGTTTGATATCATGTCCATTTAGCAGAATACTATTAGTATTGTTATTACTTGGCCTATGCCCTATCTAGCCACAGGTTCCTCAGTCTGATATTAGACTGAGGCATGGGCTCCATCTTATGAAGTGGACCTCAAATCTGATTTTTTAAAAGACAGTATCAAAATGGAGGCTTATCCTTAGCCTCAGTTGAACAGTACGGGAGAGGTGGTATTTAACTTTCTTTCTTCTTTTATTAATCAACCTGTCATGACAGATTAAAGAACACAGGAAGGATATATGGATGTCTGGGTCACCTTTTGACAGTGATCAAGGTACATGACCTCACCATTGGTGGCTGAACTCCTTCCAGGTGGAGAGTTACTCAAAATGGATCAGCTATATTGCACACATCTCTGTAGTCAGTAAAATTGAGATCTAGTGGAGGACTTAATAATCACCCTAATTTCAAAGTAAAGTATAAATTACATTTCTCAGTAGCTACAACAATTAATTCTCATTATAAAAAGTCCTATGATTGTTAATGCAAGACAAGTTTCTTAGGTATTGATAATAGGATATAGAATAGCAATGGAAATGAAATGAAATGAAATGAAATGCTACGTTTAAGTTGGGAGGGGGTCAATGAAAATAAAAATACGATATTAGTTCAACAAAGCTCACAGATTTCTTAAAGTTTCCAGGTTCCAAGTTAGCAACTCCTAGTTAGGTAACCTCTGGCTTCACATCAACTTCAAATATCTTTGTTTCATCTACAATAGTTTGAGTCAACAGTTTAAAATGTGTGGGTTTCAGTTTCTCTTAAAAAGCCTGAGATCTTGGGGCTGGAGAGATGGCTCAGAGATTAAGAACACTGGCTGTTCTTGCAGAGGACCCGGGTTCGAATGCCAGCACCCACATAGCAGCTAGCAACTGTCTGTAACTCCAGTTCCAGGGAATCCGACAGCCTCTTCTGTCCTCCACGGGCATTGCATGACACGGGTGCACTTATCTACATGCAGGCAATGCACGCATACAGATAAAATAAAAATAAAAATATTTTTTTTAAAAAGCCTGAGATCTTGTATCTCTGTGAAGGCCAATCCTGTGTCCAGATTAGGTTAATATGTAACAGTCCCCAAAGCTCCCTTTTACATATCCAGGACTCAACCAACAGTCAACTGTCAGGAGCCTTCGTTCTTTCACTATGAGGGCTTAAAGGTTTGCCTCCGTTTACTCACTCATTTGACTTACCAGGTTCCCAGGGCACATGAGCTTGTGGCTGCTTGTCTGAGCACATGGAAGAGGACAAAGGACTTGTGTGTCTTGAATCATGTATTAGGTACAGCCCTGGCTGCTGGACTTAAGTCATCCCACTGAACTATAAACTGGGACCAACTCTTTACTACATCACTATCTTGTTGATCATGGATAAGGCATTTCATGCTTCTGGGTCTTGCTTTTTCCATCTTTACAAAGAATAAGTTGTATTCCTAACACCCTTTCTGCTGCTGACATTCTCTAATTTTGATTACCACTCCTTAGATCAGGATCATGCCTTGTGTAAATCTGTAGCTGATCTCAACATGAAGCATGACACTGGAACTCAGGTGCTCAATAGCTAACCATTAGTGGAAGGAGAACATTGTCTTATTAGGGGTGGACAGACAGGGAAGGAATCAGATTATTTTTCAACATGAGTTTTAAGGAAAAGAACTAAAACAAGCTTTTTAAAAGTATCTACTATTTTCCATTCTGTTTACTTACTTAAGAATATTATCTTGTCCCATGAGAATTAAGACTCCAACCCCAGCACCTGTGTGCAGCTCCCACCAGGCTTTGCATATAGCTTTTGTTTGCCCATGTCCCCTTCCCTTTCTTTGTGGAACTGTTGGACCTGCCAGCTGATGCTCCATGTCCCTATTCCTCTCCCTGACCATTACCATGGGGCAAGCATATGAACCAAGCCGTGTTATTAGACTCTCTGACTTCTGAATCTGAAGCAAGCTTCCCTGTGTCTTTGCAAATATTCCTTTGCCCTTTGAAGCTAGAATAGCTTCTGTTACCTAAAGCCATGCAGATAAGAAGGGATAGGCACCCAAACCTGTGGTAGAGGTTTGACTAAATTCTCTTTCCTAAAGAATAGAAGGAACATAGATCTTTCCATGTTCTTTCCTCTTTGCTTGATCTTAAGCGACCAAGAAGTAATATTCATTCTTTCATCTTAATGTCCTGTTAGTAATACCAAAAGGGGGACAGGCAACTTTCTCAGGGCAAAGTGATGTACCAAACCAGATGGAGGAGGCAGCTTCAGTGTATGTCTGGATTCTGCTTATAAGGGAGGTGGAACTGATTTCTGCCCTTGGCAGTAGGCCAGGCTATCCACCCATTTCGCCACAATCTTTAAGGAGCAGACAATAGTTTTCCATGAATCAACTTCATTTTGGAACCCACACACTTTTCTTTCCTCACGTTGTCTCTTCAAACTCTCTGGAGTTTGGCCTTGAGAATGACAGAAGCAAGGCTTTATATGAGGGCTTTGAGTTTAAGAATGGAGTCACTCTCTCTGGTTACTTTGGAGCTGGTATACACTCTAATAATGAAGACAAGTTTCCCCAAAGTCTCCAGAGAAAGCAGGGAAGACACAGCAGTGCCTTTGGTTTCATAGTGCAGGCAACAAGCAGTGAAATTCTGTTGACAGCTATGCTCAGCGTAGAGAGAATAGATCAGAAAGGACATGTTTGCCTTGGGAAGAAGTAAGTTAAATATACTATATTTCAATTATGAGTAAGGCAGTTTTTCTTAGTTTGAGAAATACCCTTTCTCCTCTTGCTTCTGTAATGTGTGATTTCAATGTTCCTAGGGAGTATTAATAGAAAGGCTAGCTACACATGTACAGTATTCTCCCACAAGAAACTCACTCACTCAATTTATAGGATACAACTTTTCTAAAATACATAGCTGAGCTTGAAAACAGAGATATTCTTCCTTTTCTAGAAATGAAGGAAGTCACCTGGGCAGATAAAAGCCCAAAGGGTATTGAAACCAGACACAGAAAGAAGAAATTAAAATAGAAAATATGGAAGACGCTACCATGATGGATCAGCAGCTGTGTCTTGAAGACAAATGATGGGGAGGCCCAAGAGATCAATATCTTGCCATGATCATCCCATACCTATCACTCCCTTCAAGGCTCAGGGACCATTGTGGAAAAGTTGGGCGGGAAGTCTGTAAGAGCAGAAAGAAAGGGGCGGAGTGTAACCTGAAGTTCCTCCATCTGATCACTATGATGCAAGCCATAGTCCTGCCTCCTTCCTCCGCTCTTCAGAAGGAGTTAAGCAGGCGGAAGCCCATCGCCTCTCCCATCCAATCAGTTGACCTTAGTTTCATGAAGGGGTAGAGCTGCAGCCATATTGAATACAGGGAACCGAGTTGCAAACGAAGGGTGAGCAGGTGAGACTGCACTCATGGACATCTTGGGGCAAGGCAGGATGCAAAAGAGCTGATGAAGACCATGGGGCAGGATGAGCTGATGGCAGGCATTTCAAATTTAAGCCTATGAGAATTCATGCTTTTGTAAGTCACCCTTTCCTGGATGTGATAAACTATTCAAATGCCCCCCTCATAAAATAAAATAGAAAATCCATTGAGGCAAATAAAAACAATACACAGCACACCAACCCTCCAGAATGTAGCTGCTCTTTCGGTTCCCAGAATCCACATGGCAGCCAGCAACAGTCCATAATCCCAGTTCCAGGAAATCCGATTTCCTCTTCTGGTCTCTGCAGGCATTATATGAAATAGGTGCACTTACATACATACAGGCAAAACACTCATACACATAAAAAAATAAAAATAAATTCTAGAAAAAGAAGAATAAGTTAAACTTGAAGCTAGGAAAAAGAAGGAAATACAGTATTCCTCCCTTACTCATGAAGGACAAGACCTGCAGTGAATGCTTAAAACTATAGACAATACAAATTCTATGTATGTTATTTTAGGCTTTTTCTTATACATATATAACTATGATAAACTCCAATTATAATTTAAGCACAGTAATAAACTGATAGAAATAACCAAATATAGAATACAATTATAATATATAATAAAAGTTAAGTGAATGCAGTCTCTTTTTCTCTCTCCAAATATCTTTTTGTACCATACTCACCCTCCTGTTGATGAAGTGAGATGATGCAGAGCCTACATGATGAGACATAATGAGGGGAGTGATATAGGCATTGTGATGCAGCACGGGACTACCAAATAAGAATTAATGCAATTTGGTAACTGAGAATGTTATTAAGTGACTTAATGGGCGGGCAGCATATGGATGATGGGCAGAGGGATGCTTTACATCTTGAGCAGGACAGGAAAACATAGTAGAAGATTCTATCAGGAATTCAAAATGTGTAATTTAAACCTGATGAATTATTTATTTCTGGAATTTTCCTTTTCATATGAACCAGAACTGGTTGTGGGCAATTGAAACCATGATAAAATACAAATATTAGGGGTGGTGCTATTATAATAAAAACTAGAGGGACTGGAGCGGTAACTCAGTGGTTAAAAGCACTGACTACTCTTGAAGAAGACCCAAGTTCTATTCCCAGTACTCACATGCAGCTAACAACTGTCCAAAACTCCAGTTTCCAGGGGATCTGACACCGACTTTTGACCTTCAAGGGTATTGCAAAACATGAGTTCAAGCAAGCAATACACTCATATGCAAAAATAATAAATTATTTAAATAACCAAAGCAGTGACAAACTAGAGAATAGAAAACAACAGAGAAAATCAACAAAACTGTTACTTCTTTAAAGTATTTTTTAAATTTAAATTTTATATGTGTATGTGCTTTGCCTATGTGTATATAAGTGGACCCATGCATGCAATGCCCACGGAGACCAGAAGAGCACATCAGATCACCTGGAACTGGAGTTTCAGATGATTTTTAGCCATTATGTGGATGCTGGGAACCAAACCTGGGTCCTCTGCAAGAGCAGCTGGTGTGCTTTATTGCTGAATCATCTCTCCAGCCTCCAGCTACTTCTTTAAAAGTACCGAGAGAATTGTTAAACCTTTAGCTAAATTCAGGAAAAACGAGGAAAGTCTCAAATAACTAAAATCAGAAATGAATTGGTAAATTGTAACCATTTTTCTTTCATAAATAAAATGAATAAAGAAAAATTATCAGCAATTATGCACCTATATGTTGAATAACCTAGGGGGAAAAATGGATAAATTCCTAGAAACACATACCTATCAAAACTAAATCATAAAGAAATAAAAATCTGAAAAAGCCTATAACTATATGTAGACATTATTGAACCCTACTCCCTTTCCTTTTAATGTGAGATGATATAATGTCTACATGATAAGATGTATGGCTCAAGTATAGAGATGAAATTGGGAGTCAAAAAATGAAGAAAAGTCCAGGACCATACACCTCCCTAGAGAAAGCTACCAAATTTTTGTATAACTAAAACCAATATCCCACAAACTTCAAAATACTGAAGAGTAGAGACCATTTTCAAACTCATCTTATGAGCCCAGCATTTTTCATAAAGCTAGACAGAATCTAAAAGAAAATTCCAGACAAAATCCCTGAAGAGTAGTGATGGAAAAATCCTCAATAAAATATGAGCAAATAAAATTCAAGAGCACTCCAAAAAAGATTGCATACCACAACCAAATGGGAGTTGGCTATGGAACTTAAGAATGGTTCACCTTCTGAAAATCAATCAATGTAAAATGATACATCAATAGAATGAAGACAAAAACACATGGTCATATTGATGCACCATGTTACAAAAATTCAGCATCCTTTCATAATAAAAACACTCAAGCAGCAAAGGGAAATTAGATAAAAGCCACTTATGAAAAGCCTATAGCTAACATATTTAACAATGAAATACTGAAAGTTATCCCTCTAAGATCAGGAGCAAGATAAAGCTTACTATTCTGATTACTTATAGACAACACTGTACTGGAGATCCAGCCAAAGCAACCAGACAACAAAATGTGACTCTTAGTAGATCAACCAGGCTCCAGTGGATGGACCCACACTGAAGAACACTTGGGGTGTCACAGGAGTAGGAGTTTGCTGCTTGGGAGTAGGGGGCATCCCAGTGGAGGGCCAGTGAGAAGAGGTTTGATAGGGAAGGGGATCTAACTACCATCAAATTACAGTGTATGAAGATCGCAAAAAGTTCAATTGAAAATTTTTTTAAATGTGACTACTTAGTAGTCAATTCAGTCACTGGAAAACTTTCTAGTATGTTTGGAGGTACAACTTTGGTACGAGAATCTAGTTTTTCAATAGTAAATTCTGTATATAGATAAAATGTTTCTGATTAAAACTGTGTAGATTGTGATATACTATAAATACTCTTGAACCAGAGTTCAAGAACAGCATATAAGAAGATGTATAACATTTCAAGTTATTTTATATTGATTACATGTTAAATTGATAATATTTTTGATAAAGTGGGTTAAAATACATCATTAAAATAAATTTAACTACTTTTTTCATTTTGTATGAAAAACAAATTTGGAAGCATTTATGCTGTAGTTTTATCAGTGTTTCTAAGACCAGTCACCTGGAAGATGGGAGGCAGGTGAGAGAAATTCAAATACAAGATTTTTGCATTGTTTGAGAGGATGGCGTACAGAAGCATTACCTTCCAATTGTGTTAGTTATGTATTCATAAGAAAAGCTGAATATACAATTTCATAATTATCATAGAGGACGTAAATGAATTTAAAAATTCATTGAGCTTGATTAAAGACAGAAAAGAAATTAAAAATCATAAACAGCTTAATGGAAGCAAGGAAAGGAAAACTATAAAAACAAAGAAAAACCCTGATAAAGAGAAAATTCAAATTAAGAATGTATAAATAATTCCAAAACTATTACTAACATTTAACAATCAGAGGAGGATTAAATTTATCTGTTGAAATATGAAGATACTTAGAGCATATATAAAAAAATTTTAATGCAGCCCTCTTCCATTTACAAGACACCCTCCTAACATATAGGGGCAAGAGAAAGTTTCCATCTGACAATACTAGCCAAACAGAAGCTGATATATCAATACTCCTATGTCAGGATTCTCTCCTATGAGCAATGGAAGCTTTTCAAGGTTTTATATGAAGGGCTCAATTTAAAAACCTTTAGAAGAAGAACTTAGGAGAATCCCTTCACTGCATCAGGGTGAGGAAGGAGCTCTTTAAGCAACACACAGATGCACAAGCCATAAAGGAAAACTGATGTACTGTGACTACATCAAAACTAGAAACTCTGGGGGCTAGGGAGATGGCTCAGCAGTTAAGACTGAGTACTGTTCTTACCAAAGACCTGAGTTTGATTCCCAGCACACATACCAGGCAGCTCACAACTACCTGTAACTCCAGGTTCAGGGGGATATGATGCCTCTAGCCTCCTTGGGTACCTGCATGCCTGTGCACAGATCCACACACAATATAGAGCCAGGTGTGATGGTACATGCCTTTAATCCCAGCACTTAGGAGGAGGCAAAGGTAGGTGGAGGTCTGTGAGATCAAGGCCAGCCTGGTCTATATAGTGAATACCTGGCTAGGGAGACCCTGTCTCAAAAAAAGAAAAAAAGAAAAAAAAACCCACCAAATAAATAAGTCTTTAAAAACTAGAAGCTTTTGAACAACAGTAGACACTACACAGTAAAAATGTAAGTCATAGACTAGAAAAATGTTTTCAATGAATCCTCCTGACAAAAGATCAATACCCAGAATAAATAAATAATTAACAAACCAATATAAAGATGGGTGAAGCAGTGGGTAGAAATTCACAGATGACACCCAAATGGCCAATATGTTAGAAGATGGACAATCTCACTACTAATTAGAGAAATGGAAACTTGAACTGTGAGATGGCTATTTGTATCATTTGTAGCCAGCAGACTGGTAAAATCCTTAGAAGACTGACAATGGAGACGCATGCACAGGATCCGAAACATTCCCAACCAGGGACATGACTATAAATTACTTTCACCATTTCAAAGAGCAAACTGGTACTATTATTCTGGTCAAGATGGAGTTCAAGGGACCAGATTCACCTTTTGCCTGAAAGGACTAGAAAAAGATACAAACCACAGGAATTAGGAAGCATCAGGCCCATATCGTGCAGACAGTGATCTGCAAAAGACAGGAAACAAGTCAAGTCCCAATGATCGCCCCAGTTTACACTTTGAAGATTTTCCGTTTCTAACCCAGGCAGAGCCCAGTGCACTCTTAAGCTGTGTCACAGCTTGAGAAAATTTGAAGTCCACAGAGAACAGAGGTTGAGTTCACATGAAAGAACCTAGGGAGGAAAATGGCTATAGAAGCGTGAGAGACCAAGGAGTCCCTGTACAGTTCCCCTCGGTCTCGTTGAATATTGATAAATCCATTTATTTAGTCAACTTCCCAAAGCTGGGGGAAAAAAAAAAAACTGAGAAAATTAGTGGGATCTACTCACACGAGACCAGGAACCATCTGTGTTGTCAGCCAGAGCAGAAAACTCTCAGTATTCCTAGGATGTCAGAGTAATCAGAAGCACTCAAGCACGTGGAAAAATTAGCCCTAGATGAAGACTGCTCTGGTCCCACCTAACAAAGCTCAAAAGCAAGCCTCAAAAGAATCAAAATGTTTTCAAGTAACTTAATTGCATCCCAGGATAGAATTCAAGAATATTTATAGGAAGTAAAAATATCTATGGAACTTCAAGTTGTGCATAACTAGCAGCTTTCCTTCTAGGCTTCTAATCTT